CTTCCCTCTACCTGAATTGCCTTCCTAATGCAGAGGCTGGAACACACACACACACACACACACACACACACACACACACACACACACACAAAGTCAAACAACAACAAGAACAAAACCCTACATTCCCAGAGTCCTTTGCAGCTCAGGTCTGGACACAGAATTGTTTTTACCTTTCAGAAATGCTCATGAGAGATTTGTGTTTTGATCATTTGTTTTTGTTTTTGAGTTGAGATCTTGCTCTGTTGCCCAGGCTGGAGTGCAGTGGCATGATCTTGGGTTACTGTAGCCTCAAACTCCTGGGCTCAAGTGATCCTTCTGCCTCAGCCTTCTGAGTAGCTCGGACTACAGGCATGTGTCACCGTGCCTGCTGATTTTTAAAAATTTTTTTGTAGAGTTAAGATCTTGCTATGTTGCCCAGGCTGGTCTCGAACTCCTGGGCTCAAGCAATCCTCCGATCTCGGCCTCCCAAATCGCTGGGATGACAGGCGTGAACCACTGTGCTTGGCCTGTTTGTTTTGCGCAATGGTCTTGCTGTGTCACTCAGGCTGGAGTGCAGTGGTGCGATCATACCTCACTTGCAGCCTCCAACTTGTGGCCTCAAGCAATCCTCCCTCCTCAGCCTCCCAAGTAGCTGGGACTACAAGTGCACACCACCACACGTTCCTCATTATAAAACTTTTTGTAGAGATGGGGGATCTTCCTATGTTGTCTAGGCCGGTCTCAAACTCCTGTTCTCAAGTGATCCTCCCACCCTGGCTTCTCAAAGTGCCGAGATTACAGGTGTGAGCCACTGTGCCTATGAAAGATTTGGAAAGCAGAAATGATATGTGTGTGTGTGTGTGTGTGTGTGTGTGTGTGTGTGTGTGTGTGTGTATCTCACGGAGAAGCAGATTTGTGAAGATGTGAATTTTATTTATTTATTAAAAAACTTTTTTTTGAGTCAGAGTTTCACTCGATCACCCAGGCTGGAGTGCAGTGGCACACTCACGGCCACCGCAACCTTGACCTGCTGGGCTCAGGCCTCAGCATTCCAAGTAGCTGGAACTACAGATGCACGTCACCACGCACAGTTAATTTTTTAATTTATCGTAGAGACGTGGTCTCGACAAGTTACCCGGGCTGGTCTCGAACCCGCGGGCTCAGGTAGTCCTCTCACCTTGGCCTCCCAAAGTACTGGGAATATAGACATGAGCCACCACGCCCGACCCTTATTTATTTATTTTTGAGTCAGAGTCTCACTCTGTCACCCACGCTGGAGCGCAGTGCCACGCTTACGGCCACCACAGCCTCGACCTGCTGGGCCCAGGCGAACCTCCTGCCTCAGCCTCCTGAGCAGCTGGAACTACAGGCATGTGTCACCACACCCAGCTAACTTTTTAATTTACTGTAGAGATCGACGTCTCATCAAATTCCCATGCTGGTCTCAAGCCCGTGGGCTCAGGCAATCCTCTCACCTCCGCCTCCCAAGGTGCTGGGATGACAGGCGTGAGCCACCGTGTGTGGGTTTTATTTTAGTGAACGTTTGTCTTCCAGTGGACCTACTTCCGGGTCCTAGTTCTGATGACTGCTTCCTTTCTCATCTTCAGAGGAAGTAGCTCCTGGTGGCTCAGCTCTGCGGTGTCATGAGGATACCTCCTGCAAGCACAACCTGTTCCAGAGCTGCTCGGAGTGTGATCTCATTCACATACCAGTAGCTCCGCCTGGGAGCTTTGCTCAAAATGCACAGCCTTGGGTCCCCCCCGCCCCAGACCTTCTTAACTGAATCTGAAACTCTGTGCGTGGGATGGCGGAAGCTGTGCTTTAACAAGTTTTTCTGGTGAGTCTTTTGCACAATAAAATTGGAGAAGCGCCAGCTTACAACCTACTTTCTCAGCCCCTCCATGGATTTTGCAAGCCCCATAAGTTCTTTTTTTTTTTTTTGAGTTGGGGTCTCAGTCTGTCACCCAGCCTGGAGTGTAGTGGCACAATCACAGCTCACTGCAGCCTTAACCTCCTGGGCTCAGGCAATACTCCTGCCTCAGCCTCCCAAGTAGCTGGGACTACAGGTGCATGCCACCACACCTGGCTAGTTTTTAAAAAAATTTTTGTAAAGACGAGGTCTTGCTATGCTGCCCAGGCTGGTCTTGAACTCTTGGGCTCAAGGAGTCATTCCACCTTGGTCTGCCACAGTGCTGGGATTACAGGCGTGAGCTACTGCACCCAGCTTGAGTCATACATTCTTGGTTTTTTTTTTGTTTTTTGTTTTGAGTTGAAGTCTCACTGTCGCCCAGACTGGTGTGCCTGGCACACTCACGACCACTCCAGCCTCGACCCGCTGGGCTCCGGCGATCCTTCCGCCTCAGCCTTCCAAGTAGCTGGAACTACAGGCATGCGTTACCATTCCTGGCTGGTTTTTAAAAATTTATTGTAGAGACAAAGTCTTGCCAAGTTGCCTGGGCTGGTCTCGAACCCACAGGCTCAGGCGATCCACTTGCCTCAGCCTCCCAAAGTGCTGGGATTACAGCCTGAGCCACTGAGCCCGGCCGCCCCATACATTCTTGTATTAAATCCTTTTCTGCTTAATATATCTAGCGGGGGCCCCACACTGAACTCTGGCTGACAAAATACCACCAGAATTCAAGAGTTTAACCAGTAGGGTCTGAATTCCGGCTCACTGCTTAATTGATATTGTGACCATGGGCGAGGGACTTTGTGCGGCAAATTGTCATTTCCAAAGATAGCTACAGCCCTGTTGCCCATCTCAGGTGCTCATCTAGAATCTTGCCATTCTGTTACCAAGAGGGTCCGTATATCCCATGCTCTAGAATCTGGACAGGGTCTCGTTTTGTTTCGAGTTGGGGGTCTCTCTCTGTCTCCCAGGCTGGAGTGCAGCGGCATGATCCCAGCTCACCGCAGCCTCGACCTCCTGGGTTCAGGCGATCCTTCCACTTCAGCCTCCTGAGTAGCTGGGACTACAGACACCCCGCACCACCAAGCCTGGCTAATTTTTTTATTTTTTTTATTTTTAATTTTTTGGAGAGACGAGGTCTTACTATGTTGCCCAGGCTGGTCTCGAACTCCTGGGCTCCAGCAGTCCTCCTGCCCTGGCCTCCCAACGTGATGGGATGACAGGTGTGAGTCACCTTGTCCCATCCTGGACAAGGTGTTGTTATGGCCTTGACCAGAAGTTTTGAGGAAGGACACCATGTGACTTCTGAAGCTGGGTCATAAAAACACCATGCATTTTTCTTCTGTATTTACAAATTCCTTGCTTTCCTAGATGCTTGCTCTTGGGGAATCCAGCCACCATGCTATGGGGGAAGACGAAGACACCCATGGAGAGACTCACGTGGAGGCGTATTGAGGCCCTTGTCTACCTTATCCTGATGAACCTCCAGCCAGTTGGTGCCAACTGGCACGGGTCACCTGGAAAGTAGATCTCTCAGCCTCCAGCTCAGATGTTCTAGCTGATGCCACAGGGAACCCAGATGAGCTGGCCTCCCATGCCTTACTCACATTGAAGATTTGGGAGCAAAATAAATACTTGTTTTAAGTCACCAAGTGTTGGGGTTGGGGGATTGTTTGTTATGCAGCAGGAGTTGACTGATACACTTTCCCTAAACCTTGGATTGAAAAGAGATGAAAGCTCTGATCTGGCTGGGCGCAGCAGCTCGAGCCTGTCATCCCAGCACTTTGGGAGGCCGAGGCAGGAGGGTCGCTTGAGTCCAGGAGCTCCACTGCCCCGAGCAACTTAGCGAGACCTCATCTCTACAAAAATAGAAAATAAAAACTGGTTGAGTGTGGTGGTGCATGCCTATCATCTCAGTTACTTGGGAAGTTGAGGCAGGGGGATTGCCTGAGCCCAGGAGGTCGAGGCTGTGGTGAATTGGGATCATGCTTGTACTCCAGCCTGGGAGACAGAGTGAGACTCTGACTTAAAAAAAAAAGTCACCGGGCTCGGTGGCTCAGCCTGTAATCCCGCGCCTTTGGGAGGCTGAGGTGAGTGGATTGCCTGAGCCCGCGGGTTCGAGACCCGCCTGGGCAGCGAGACCTCACCTCTACAATAAATCAAAAAATCAGCTGGGCATGGTAGCGCGCGCCTGTAATTCCGGCAACTCGGAAGGCCGAGGCGGAAGGATCGCCGGAGCCCAGCAGGTCGAGGCTGCGGTGGCCGGGAGCGGCCACTGCACTCCAGTCTGGCGACAGAGTGAGACTCCAACTCAAAACAAAACAAAAAAAAAGTCTCGGTACCTCACGCCTATCATCCCAGCACTTTGGGAGGCCAAGGTGAGAGGATTGCCTGAGTCCACAGGTTCGAGACCAGCCTGGGCAACTTAGTGGGACCTCATCTCTACAATAAATCAAGAAAAATTAGCTGTGTATGGCAACACATGCCTGTAATTCTAGTTACTTGGAAGGCTGAGGTGGAAGGATCGCCGGAGTCCAGCAGGTCAAGACTGCGGTGGCCACGAGCATACCACTGCCCTCCAGCCTGGGCAACAGAGTGAGACGCCAACTCAAAAAAAAAAAAAAAGAAAAATTCTCTGACCTTGTGAAGGCTGCATGAGTTGAGGCACGAACCTGGCATTGAGGGAGGCTCCCTGCAGGAAGCTGCCCTGTTATTCCGGCAGGACCGCCACTGGGGCGCTAGCTCGAGCTGCCATCTCCCCAGATTCCCCCTCCTGCTTTCTACACTTGCAAGGTGCCCTGCAAATGGCAGCAGTTCCATCGCGAGCACCCACTCTGTGCCCACGAGTTGTCCTCAAATCCTCACAAACCATCCTGAGGTGGGCGTGCAGGGATCACGGGGAAAAACACATGACTCCCCTTTCCCAGGTGAAGAAACCAGGGCCTGGAGAGGGCGAACGGCTTACTCGAGCCCACAGAGCTGGCGAGTGGCAGAGTCAGTTCTGTCTGGCTCCAGAATCTCCGTGGCCCTGCCCGAGATGTCCTCGGTGGCCTCCAGCCTGCAGGGAGACACCTTGCTGCACCAGGAGAGGAAAACGAACTTGGCAGAAATGTCCAGGACCACAATGGATTTATTTATCACAGGGGAGGCCGGGGAGGGGAGGCCGGGGTGGGTGGCCATGACGGGGACAGCCTCTCCTGGCAGGCACCGGGTCTTGTTTCTCCCCCCAGCAAGCCAAGGAAGGCAGGAATCGAGGGGGGTGAGGTCGGAGAGGACTCGGGGGCTTCTGGGAGCCAGAGAGAGGCAGGGTCCGAGGGGAGCCGGGGTCCGGGAGGTCAAAGGGTAGACAAGGTCAGAGGTGAAGTGCGGCTTAGAGGGCTGGGTCAAAAGCAAACCAGGGTGCACAGATCTAGAGGGGAAATCGGGCTATGCGGGGGGTCAAAGGTGAAGACATTGTGGGCGAAGCAGAGCGCATGAAATTCAAGGCCGAGTCTGAGGGGTCAGAAAGGATGAACCGGAACTTCCAGGGGGTGTGGAGCGTTCACGTCGGATGAGCTCGAGAGGTCAAGTGAGGCTCCAGGGTCAGAGATGAAGCAGCCGGGGGTGGCGGTCACGGGGCCAGAGGTGAGTCAGGCCAGGAGAGGAGGGGGCTCTTGGAGGTCAGAGGACAGAGCCGGGACGGGTGGGGCGCCGGGGGCAGGGCTAGGCCACCTCCTCCTCAGCCTCCTCCTCGAACTCGCCCTCCTCGGCCGTGGCGTCCTGGTACTGCTGGTACTCGGACACCAGGTCATTCATGTTGCTCTCAGCTTCGGTGAACTCCATCTCGTCCATGCCCTCGCCCGTGTACCAGTGCAGGAAGGCCTTGCGCCGGAACATGGCCGTGAACTGCTCGGAGATGCGCTTGAACAGCTCCTGGATGGCCGTGCTGTTGCCGATGAAGGTGGCGGCCATCTTTAGGCCGCGGGGTGGGATGTCGCACACGGCCGTCTTCACGTTGTTGGGGATCCACTCCACGAAGTAGCTGCTGTTCTTGCTCTGCACGCTCAGCATCTGCTCGTCCACCTCCTTCATGGACATGCGGCCCCGGAACACGGCGGCCACGGTCAGGTAGCGGCCGTGGCGCGGGTCGCAGGCGGCCATCATGTTCTTGGCGTCGAACATCTGCTGGGTGAGCTCGGGCACCGTGAGCGCCCGGTACTGCTGGCTGCCCCGGCTGGTCAGGGGCGCGAAGCCCGGCATGAAGAAGTGCAGGCGTGGAAAGGGAACCATGTTCACGGCCAGCTTGCGCAGGTCGGCGTTGAGCTGGCCCGGGAAGCGCAGGCAGGTGGTCACCCCGCTCATGGTGGCCGACACCAGGTGGTTGAGGTCGCCGTAGGTGGGCGTGGTGAGCTTCAGGGTGCGGAAGCAGATGTCGTAGAGCGCCTCGTTGTCGATGCAGTACGTCTCGTCTGTGTTCTCCACCAGCTGGTGCACCGACAGCGTGGCATTGTAGGGTTCGACCACCGTGTCCGACACCTTGGGCGACGGCACCACGCTGAAGGTGTTCATGATGCGATCGGGGAACTCCTCCCGGATCTTGCTAATAAGCAGCGTGCCCATGCCCGAGCCCGTGCCCCCGCCCAGCGAGTGGGTCAGCTGGAAGCCCTGCAGGCAGTCGCAGCTCTCGGCCTCTTTCCGGACCACGTCCAGGACGGCGTCCACCAGCTCGGCGCCCTCCGTGTAGTGGCCCTTGGCCCAGTTGTTGCCAGCTCCGGATTGGCCTGTGGGGGAAAGAGGGGGTGTTGGAGGGGCGCCGGGGAGCCATCTTCCTCGGCCCTGTGTCCCGGCCACCCGGAGGGCCCCTGAGTTGGGGTCTTGCTCTGTCGTCCGGGCGGGAGGGCAGGGGCGCCATGGTGGCTCACTGTGGCCTCGACCTCCAGGGCCCAGGTGATCCTCCTGCCTCAGCCTCCTGAGTAGCTGGGTCGATGGGCGCCACCACACCCAGTTGATTTTTTAGTTTTTTTGACGGGGAGGGGACTCACTGTGTTGGCTAGGCTGGTTTTGAAATCCTGGCCTCAGGCAATCCTCCTGCCTCAGTCTTCCAAAGGGCTGGGATTACAGGCATGAGCCACCATGTCCGGCCAACACTATTATTATTATTATTATTTTTTTGAGTTGGAGTCTCACTCTGTCGCCCAGACTGGAGTGCAGTGGCCGCTCCTGGCCACCGCAGCCTCCACCCGCCGGGCTCCGGTGATCCTCCTGCCTCAACCTTCCGAGTAGCTGGAACTACAGGCGCGCGCTGCCACGCCCGGCTGATTTTT